ACAACAGCGGAGCACGCAAAAGAAATAATCTGGCCACATATAGCTTGTTCCTTTTTACAGAAACATTGGTTTCTACTTTTATAAAAAGCAATTTAATTTATGTTTCAACATAAACAGTGATAAGATTAACCTTACCAAAATTAACTTGGAATTGGAAAGCTCGTAGTTGCGGGCGTACGATGTAGAAAGCCTCTATCTTCAGTGACTTCGAGGACACTGTACTTCACTCTTTATTCAATATCCAAGTAGATACAAGACCTTTTTTACCATGCGGTCCACTTTCGCAGTTGTCTACACACTTTAACCTTCGCTAGACCTTTCTCGGATGGCACCACGTGCTACAATACTTTCAAAACGCCTCGTCACTGTATTCATACTAAACTTTTACTATTCCCTAGAGAGGTACAGAAAAAAAGCGTGAGCTCGAAAACAATAGCATACCGTAGTTCTGACCACAGCCCGCCTTCGTAAGAACAAGAAGACGCCCGAAGGCGTTTACGCGGGATGTGTGGGTTTCAGAAAAATTACGGGTATGTTGGATGGCAATGGAAAGTTGTGCAGTGTATGCAACAAATGTGTGCAGGAGAGACGGAGATGTTCTGTTAAGGACTAATACACTAGAAGATGAGTTACACACAAGGGTTCCTTTGCTACTCAAAACAAAACTTACATCAATATTACCACCATATATCTTAGTAGTATGGGGTAGTTCACTAAAATTTGCATTCCTTTACTAATGTCCTCAAAAAATGCGCTTCCACATTTAACAATAGCATGTAATGTATCATACTTCCAATAACTACAGGGCTTCAAGGAAGTGCTCTAGGGAAAACTTCAGGGAGCCCTTTGGGCTCCCGAAGCATTTTTAGCTGGGGTGCCCGGGGCCTCCAAGTTGGTCGCCCAAATTAATAAATCAATGAGCTGTTAGTTAATTATTAAAAATTAAACAAATTATTTTCTTAACAAGTCAAGCAGAACTCTGTGAATATTTTTTTCATGAAAAATCACATCCCTTTGACCTCCTGAGCGTGCGAAAAAAAAAACCGGCACGTTGTCATATGAAAGTAAGTTTTCGCGCCATATGAGAAACATGGACAACGACGCCGAACATTTCATGTTTTTTAAATGGCAAAGTAAATTTGGGGTCAAAAATAAGGGCACTATTCTTTTTACTAATCATTTTTATTTAGGTTGAAAAGAAAATTCGCTTATTAAGATTGACTGAGATCCCGTGGAGCTTTCCAGGAAAACTGTTATCATTTCAACGAAACCGCGGCACCCCCCGGGGGGTTACTTGCGTTAATTTTTGCTGGGTATGTGCCGCTGGCCTCTCAGAGCCCCTACCCCATTATAGTCTTTTCTGTGGCCAATTGTAGACCCCACATTAGTCATTCTTGGGCAGATATGTAATTTTTGCGATCCCAACTTAGTCACTTTCTATTTACGTATCTAACTTATCAATCCTTTAAATAGGTCATCAAAAGATGAATTGACCCATTTCTTTAATAAATTGAATGAAGAACACTTTACTTTTCACCTACAGTACAAATATCCTGATACGCTTGCTAACCGTAAATATGAACAGCTCTCGTACGCCCAAAAGTAGTAACTCTTTTGAAAATGCAACGCTATTAATGGTCAATCTAGTCGTGAAAATGCGACCTCATCCAGCGGCACTTCCCCATTAGCCTCTTTATAAGGAAGTGCCCCCCGGGCCGCCCTAAAACCATTATCTCTTTTGAATAGATTATCTTGTTGTAAAGTCGTCGTTTAAGCGCAAAACGGAAGTATTTTCTTTCTACATTACCAGTGAAATGTTCGGGACAAATGTAGATTCGGTTAGCTTTTGCGTATTTATTTTTGGTACGTGATACGTAATGCCTTGTCACGACACGAAAGACAATGCGGGAATTACACCCGATTCTAGAACAATCACAATTACTATAGTCGTCTCTTTTCTTTTTTATGCATCGTATTTTACTGGAATAACAATCTTAGTTATGTTTTAGCCTCGCAGACACAGCAGTAAAAAAAGGTAAAAATATTTAAAGAACATAAAAGACCGACCCCTTGTTTATTCAGCGATTTTTCAAAATACAAAAATATTGTTTTGCGTCGCCGACCGTACTTCACGCCTGTCAGAGCAAAAGTAACAATTTGTTTTGAAAAACTAACTAATGAACAATCGTAATTTGAAGAAAAAATTTCAATGTTATTATGAAAAGCTGTTACTATCGAAAACTGTGCAGCTTGTCACGTTCATAGTCAAGGATTATGTTACATGTGAATTCATGTGAAACAACCTTTGAACATCAACGCGTGCCCGCTGCCCGATATAACAACATTTTCCTAAAGCTTTTTGATAGAAATGCTACTTATTGCTACTTACAAGTCGACCTCAAGAGTTTCTTAGCGAGCGGAGCGTTCTTTTTAGGCCGCGAAGCCACTGAGAGAGCTACGATTTCGCAAGTCAATAAATTCTAGACATTCTTAGCTTTTTGACTGTAACTCAACAGAGACAAGAAACCAACTCCAGCAAGTCGCCCGGCTGGGCCACCTAGACAATATTTTCAGTCGCCCGAGGCCAAGTCTTGCGCCGTATTAAGAGCACGGCCTTGAGTCTTCGTCCTCCTCTACACAGTGACCTTACTTTTCCCTCCTTTGCTGACGCAGTATCTTTTTTCGGCTTGTGCAATCCAGCCTGACTTGCACGTGCTTCGACGTTGCGGCCAATAAAAATCCACACAATTTTTCGGGACGGGCACGGGATACGGGAAAGTTAAAAAAACAAGGCAATTTTTGACTCCCAAGACGACGAAAGGAATGTGCTACCGAATTTTAGACGCTGGCTGACTACGTCATCCCGCGTAATAACACCAAGCATGGGTAAATCTCACCAAGGTGGCAAATTCAAAAGCATTTTGATTTGAATATTTTAAAAAGTTCGTATTTTGCTTTAGCTTATGAACACTATTACCAATGGAAATAATTTATTTCGGAGACAAGATGTACATTCAGTGTCTGAGATGTTCAGTAAAATTTTCGTATAACCCCATACATTTATTATGCATGCATATTTCCACCGGCTCTATTCATATCACACTATTTGTGAGAAAAGGTATAAGGGAGGAACGGGGAACAGAAGTCTGGGAACGAGAAGTCGGCGTTAACCAGGGGTTAACCTCAACAAAAATTCAAAATGGCCAATAAATATTGAAACCAGGAAAAAGAATGGGTAAGAGTAATTCAGTACCACGTGACCAGGAAACCACGGGCTCCAGCGACGAGAATGATCTCGACGCCCTGTCTCGAACCCCAAAATCCTGCGATTCCGGTTGTTCTGCGCGTGCCTCAGTTCTTAACTGACGGATCATCCAATCTCGACCCCTGTCCATATGCAATCTGACTCCCCTCTCCCTGACGGTCATGCGCAGAAGAGCTCTGGGGTCGAGATTGACGGATCAACCAGAACGGGAGCAGGAGAGCACCTTCTGTTTCGGAAACTTTTAACGATGAATTATGATTCTCAGTGAAATATTGGGAGAAAAAGAAAAAACATGAATTCTGGCTAGCCGGTAAGTACTTGTTGTGATTACTCTTTGAGACCTTTGTTATTCGTTTTAGTGTGAGTAGAATCGAATCTCCAGTGCTTTTTTGTGCAACTTTGATTGAAAAGTCAAGTGTTTAAAACATTTATAATTAATATTTCAAATAGTATTAAGGGTCTAATCACATCTTAATTTTTCGCTTTTTACCTTGTGTGATCCACCAGAGCATCCACCAAGAGCGACAAGGTCTATTTAACAATTATTCCTGTGGCAAAGTGGATATGGGAAAGTCAAAATATATATTAATTATAGTAAAAAAACTCAATTTTGGCATTACGGGTAACTCCTTGACTCCTTTATAGTCTTTAAAGGCTTCTTTTTTATCTAGAACGTCAGCAAACACTTTTTGTCGATCTATTTTTGATAAATACAAAAGATGAAAAAACTTCAACTTTTTGACCAAAATCATGGACTATCCCCTTTGCAAAAATGCCAATTTTGCCTTCTTTTTAAATCCATGATTATATTGTCTAGAAAGGCTTGTTTTCTAACGAGAACGTCACCAAATACTTTTTCTGGGTGTATTTTGCATAAAACGAAACGTTCACAAAATTTCCAATTTTTGACCAAAACCATGGACTAACCCCTTTGCAAAAATGCCAATTTTGTGGGTTTTTGAAACCGATGTTATTCTTGTTCAGAAAGGCTTGTTTGCTATATAAAACGTCGAAAATCGTTTTTTCACGATTTATTTTCACGATCTATGACATGGGAATACAGGGGGTTACCAGGGGTTACAGGGGGTTACAAGGAGTTACAAGGGGTTACAAGGGGTTACAAGGGGTGACACGGGGTGACAAGGGGTTACAGGGGGTTACAAAGGATTATAGAAACTTCTTTCTAACTAGAACGTTCCCAGATACTTTTTCTTGGTCTATTTTGCATAAAAATCAAAGTTGAAGAAATCTCTAAGTTTTCATCAAATTGATGGACTAACCCCTTTGGAAAAATTCTAATTTTGCGTTTTTCCTAAACAGTTGTTTTTATAGTCTTTAAAGGCCTCCTTTTTTTATCTAGAACGTCAGCAAACACTTTTTCTCCATCAATTTTTGATAAATACAAAAGATGAAAAAACTTCAACTTTTTGACCAAAATCATGGAAAAAATGCCAATTTTGCCTTCTCTTTAAATCCATGTTTATATTGTCTAGAAAGGCTTGTTTTGTAACGAGAACGTCACCAAATACTTTTTCTGGGTGTATTTTGCTTAAAACGAAACGTTCACAAAATTTCCAATTTTTGACCAAAACCATGGACTAACCCCTTTGCAAAAATGCCAATTTTGTGGGTTTTTGAAACCGATGTTTTTCTTGTTCAGAAAGGCTTGTTTGCTATATAAAACGTCCAAAATCGTTTTTTCACCATTTACCTTCACGATCTATGACATGGGAATACAGGGGGTTACCAGGGGTTACAGGGGGTTACGAGGGGTTACAAGGGGTTACAAGGGGTTACAGGGGGTTACAAGGGGTTACAAGGGGTGACAGGGGGTGACAAGGGGTTAGAGGGGGTTACAAAGGATTAGAGAAACTTTTTTCTAACTAGAACGTTCCCATATACTTTTTCTTGGTCCATTTTGCATAAAAATCAAAGTTGAAGAAATCTCGAATTTTTGATCAAAACGATGGACTAACCCCTTTGGAAAAATTCTAATTTTGCGTTTTTCGTAAACAGTTGTTTTTATAGTCTTTAAAGGCTTCTTTTTTATCTAGAACGTCAGCAAACACCTTTTCTCGATCTATTTTTGATAAATACAAAAGATGAAAAAACTTCAACTTTTTGACCAAAATCATGGACTATCCCCTTTGCAAAAATGCCAATTTTGCCTTCTTTTTAAATCCATGTTTATATTGTCTAGAAAGGCTTCTTTTCTAACGAGAACGTCACCAAATACTTTTTCTGGGTGTATTTTGCATAAAACGAGACGTTCACAAAATTTCCAATTTTTGACCAAAACCATGGACTAACCCCTTTGCAAAAATGCCAATTTTGTGGGTTTTTCAAAGCGATGTTTTTCTTGTTCAGAAAGGCTTGTTTGCTATATAAAACGTCGAAAAGCGTTTTTTCACGATTTATTTTCACGATCTATGACATAAGAATACAGGGGGTTACAAGCGGTTACAGAGGGTTACAAGGGGTTACAAGGGGTTACAGGGGGTTACAAGGGGTTACAAGGGGTGACGGGGTTAGAAGGGGTTACAGGGGGTTACAAAGGATTATGGAGACTTTTTTCTAACTAGAACGTTCCCATATACTTTTTCTTGGTCTATTTTGCATAAAAATCAAAGTTAAAGAAATCTCGCATTTTTGATCAAAACGATGGACTAACCCCTTTGGAAAAATTCTAATTTTGCGTTTTTCGTAAACAGTTTTTTTTATAGTCTTTAAAGGCTTCTTTTTTATCTAGAACGTCAGCAAACACTTTTTCTCGATCTATTTTTGATAAATACAAAACATGAAAAAACTTCAAACTTTGACCAAAACCATGGACTAACCCCTTTGCAAAAATGCCAATTTTGTGGGTTTTTGAAACCGATGTTTTTCTTGTTCAGAAAGGCTTGTTTGCTATATAAAACGTCGAAAATCGTTTTTTCACGATTTATTTTCACGATCTATGACATGGGAATACAGGGGGTTACCAGGGGTTACAGGGGGTTACAAGGGGTTACAAGGGGTTACAAGGGGTTACAGGGGGTTACAAGGGGTTACAAGGGGTGACAGGGGGTGACAAGGGGTTAGAGGGGGTTACAAAGGATTATAGAAACTTTTTTCTAACTAGAACGTTCCCATATACTTTTTCTTGGTCCATTTTGCATAAAAATCAAAGTTGAAGAAATCTCGAATTTTTGATCAAAACGATGGACTAACCCCTTTGGAAAAATTCTAATTTTGCGTTTTTCGTAAACAGTTGTTTTTATAGTCTTTAAAGGCTTCTTTTTTATCTAGAACGTCAGCAAACACCTTTTCTCGATCTATTTTTGATAAATACAAAAGATGAAAAAACTTCAACTTTTTGACCAAAATCATGGACTAACCCCTTTGCAAAAATGCCAATTTTGTGGGTTTTTGAAACCGATGTTTTTCACGATCTATGACATGGGAATACAGGGGGTTACCAGGGGTTACAGGGGGTTACAAGGGGTTACAAGGGGTTACAAGGGTTTACAGGGGGTTACAAGGGGTTACAAGGGGTGACAGGCGATGACAACGGGTTACAGCGGGTTACAAAGGATTATAGAAACTTTTTTCTAACTAGAACGTTCCCAGATACTTTTTCTTGGTCTATTTTGCATAAAAATCAAAGTTGAAGAAATCTCTAATTTTTGATCAAAACGATGAACTAACCCCTTTGGAAAAATTCTAATTTTGCGTTTTTCATCCTTTTTCTGGGTGTATTTTGCATAAAACGAAACGTTCACAAAATTTCCAATTTTTCACAAAAACCATGGACTAAACCCTTTGCAAAAATGCCAATTTTGTGGGTTTTTCAAACCGATGTTTTTCTTGTTCAGAAAGGCTTGTTTGCTATATAAAACGTCGAAAATCGTTTTTTCACGATTTGTATTCACGATCTATGACATGGGAATACAGGGGGTTACAAGGGGTTACAGGGGGTTACAAGGGGTTACAAGGGGTTACAGGGGGTTACAAGGGGTGACAGGGGGTGACAAGGGGTTACAGGGGTTTACAAAGGATTATAAAAACTTTTTTCTAACTAGAACGTTCCCAGATACTTTTTCTTGGTCTATTTTGCATAAAAATCAAAGTTGAAGAAATCTCGAATTTTTTATCAAAACGATGGACTAACCCTTTTTGGAAAAATTCTAATTTTGCATTTTTCGTAAACAGTTGTTTTTATAGTCTTTAAAGGCTTCTTTTTTATCTAGAACGTCAGCAAACACTTTTTCTCGATCTATTTTTCATAAATACAAAAGATGAAAAAACTTCAACTTTTTGACCAAAATCATGGACTATCCCCTTTGCAAAAATGCCAATTTTGCCTTCTTTTTAAATCCATGTTTATATTGTCTAGAAAGGCTTCTTTTCTAACGAGAACGTCACCAAATACTTTTTCTGGGTGTATTTTGCATAAAACGAGACGTTCACAAAATTTCCAATTTTTGACCAAAACCATGGACTAACCCCTTTGCAAAAATGCCAATTTTGTGGGTTTTTCAAAGCGATGTTTTTCTTGTTCAGAAAGGCTTGTTTGCTATATAAAACGTCGAAAAGCGTTTTTTCACGATTTATTTTCACGATCTATGACATAAGAATACAGGGGGTTACAAGCGGTTACAGAGGGTTACAAGGGGTTACAAGGGGTTACAGGGGGTTACAAGGGGTTACAAGGGGTGACGGGGTTAGAAGGGGTTACAGGGGGTTACAAAGGATTATGGAGACTTTTTTCTAACTAGAACGTTCCCATATACTTTTTCTTGGTCCATTTTGCATAAAAATCAAAGTTAAAGAAATCTCGCATTTTTGATCAAAACGATGGACTAACCCCTTTGGAAAAATTCTAATTTTGCGTTTTTCGTAAACAGTTGTTTTTATAGTCTTTAAAAGCTTCTTTTTTATCTAGAACGTCAGCAAACACTTTTTCTCGATCTATTTTTGATAAATACAAAACATGAAAAAACTTCAACTTTTTGACCAAAATCATGGCCTATCCCCTTTGCAAAAATGCCAATTTTGCCTTCTTTTTAAATCCATGTTTATATTGTCTAGAAAGGCTTGTTTTCTAACGAGAACGTCACCAAATACTTTTTCTGGGTGTATTTTGCATAAAACGAAACGTTCACAAAATTTCCAATTTTTGACCAAAACCATGGACTAACCCCTTTGCAAAAATGCCAATTTTGTGGGTTTTTCAAAGCGATGTTTTTCTTGTTCAGAAAGGCTTGTTTGCTATATAAAACGTCGAAAAGCGTTTTTTCACGATTTATTTTCACGATCTATGACATAAGAATACAGGGGGTTACAAGCGGTTACAGAGGGTTACAAGGGGTTACAAGGGGTTACAGGGGGTTACAAGGGGTTACAAGGGGTGACGGGGTTAGAAGGGGTTACAGGGGTTTACAAAGGATTATGGAGACTTTTTTCTAACTAGAACGTTCCCATATACTTTTTCTTGGTCCATTTTGCATAAAAATCAAAGTTGAAGAAATCTCGCATTTTTGATCAAAACGATGGACTAACCCCTTTGGAAAAATTCTAATTTTGCGTTTTTCGTAAACAGTTGTTTTTATAGTCTTTAAAAGCTTCTTTTTTATCTAGAACGTCAGCAAACACTTTTTCTCGATCTATTTTTGATAAATACAAAACATGAAAAAACTTCAACTTTTTGACCAAAATCATGGCCTATCCCCTTTGCAAAAATGCCAATTTTGCCTTCTTTTTAAATCCATGTTTATATTGTCTAGAAAGGCTTGTTCTCTAACGAGAACGTCACCAAATACTTTTTCTGCGTGTATTTTGCATAAAACGAAACGTTCACAAAATTTCCAATTTTTGACCAAAACCATGGACTAACCCCTTTGCAAAAATGCCAATTTCGTGGGTTTTAAAAACCAATGCTTTTCTTGTTCAGAAAGGCTTCTTTGTTATATAAAACGTCGAAAATCGTTTTTTCACGATTTATTTTCACGATCTATGACATGGGAATACAGGGGGTTACTAGGGGTTACAGGGGGTTACAAGAGGTTACAAGGGGTTACAAGGGGTTACAAGGGGTTACAAGGGGTGACAGGGGGTGACAAGGGGTTACAGGGGGTTACAAAGGATTATAGAAACTTTTTTCTAACTAGAACGTTCCCAGATACTTTTTCTTGGTCTATTTTGCATAAAAATCAAAGTCGAAAAAATCTCAAATTTTTGACCAAAACGATGGACTAACCCCTTTGGAAAAATTCTAATTTGGCGTTTTTCGTAAACAGTTGTTTTTATAGTCTTTAAAGGCGTCCTTTTTTATCTAGAACGCCAGCAAACACTATTTCTCGATCTATTTTTGATAAACACAAAAGATGAAAAAACTTCAACTTATGGACTATCCCCTTTGCAAAAATGCCAATTTTGCCTTCTTTTTAAATCCATGTTTGTATTGTCTAGAAGGGCATGTTTTCTAACGAGAACGTCACCAAATACTTTTTCTGGCTGTATTTTGCATAAAACGAAACGTTAACAAAATTTCAAATTTTTGCCCAAAACCATGGACTAACCCCTTTGGAAAAATGCCAATTTTGTGGGTTTTTAAAACCAATGCTTTTGTTGTTCAGAAAGGCTTCTTTGTTATATAAAACGTCGAAAATCGTTTTTTCACGATTTATTTTCACGATCTATGACATGGGAATACAGGGGGTTACAAGGGGTTACAGGGGGTTACAAAGAGTTACAGGGGGTTACAAGGGGTTACAAGGGGTGACAGGGGGTGACAAGGGGTTACAGGGGGTTACAAAGGATTATAGAAACTTTTTTCTAACTAGAACGTTCCCAGATACTTTTTCTTGGTCTATTTTGCATAAAAATCAAAGTTGAACAAATCTCTAATTTTTGATGAAAACCATGGACTAACCCCTTTGGAAAAATTCTAATTTTGCGTTTTTCGTAAACTGTTGTTTTTATTGTCTTTAAAGGCTTCTTTTTTTATCTAGGACGTCAGCAAACACTTTTTCTCGATCTATTTTTGATAAATACAAAAGATGAAAAAACTTTAACTTTTTGACCAAAATCATGGACTATCCCCTTTGCAAAAAATGCTAATTTTGCATTCTTTTTAAATCCATGTTTATATTGTCTAGAAAGGCTTGTTTTCTAACGAGAACGTCACCAAATACTTTTTCTGGGTGTATTTTGCATAAAACGAGACGTTCATAAAATTTCCAATTTTTCACCAAAACCATGGACTAACCCCTTTGCAAAAATACCAATTTTGTGGGTTTTTGAAACCGATGTTTTTTTTGTTCAGAAAGGCTTGTTTGCTTTATAAAACGTCCAAAATCGTTTTTTCACGATTTATTTTCACGATCTATGACATAAGAATACAGGGGGTTACAAGCGGTTACAGGGGGTTACAAGGGGTTACAAAGGGTTACAAGGGGTTACAAGGGGTTACAAGGGGTGACAGGGGGTGACAAGGGGTTACAGGGGGTTACAAAGGATTATAGAAACCTTTTTGTAACTAGAACGTTCCCAGATACTTTTTCTTGGTCTATTTTGCATAAAAATCAAAGTTGAAGAAATCTCTAATTTTTGATCAAAACGATGGACTAACCCCTTTGGAAAAATTCTAATTTTGCGTTTTTCGTAAACAGTTGTTTTTATAGTCTTTAAAAGCTTCTTTTTTATCTAGAACGTCAGCAAACACTTTTTCTCGATCTATTTTTGATAAATACAAAAGATGAAAAAACTTCAACTTTTTGACCAAAATCATGGACTATCCCCTTTGCAAAAATGCCAATTTTGCCTTCTTTTTAAATCCATGTTTATATTGTCTAGAAAGGCTTGTTCTCTAACGAGAACGTCACCAAATACTTTTTCTGCGTGTATTTTGCATAAAACGAAACGTTCACAAAATTTCCAATTTTTGACCAAAACCATGGACTAACCCCTTTGCAAAAATGCCAATTTTGTGGGTTTTTCAAACCGATGTTTTTCTTGTTCAGAAAGGCTTGTTTGCTATATAAAACGTCGAAAATCGTTTTTTCACGATTTATTTTCACGATCTATGACATAAGAAATACAGGGGTTACAAGGGGTTACAGAGGGTTACAAAAGGGGTTACAAGGGGTTACAGGGGGTTACAGGGGTTACAAGGGGTTACAAGGGGTGACAGGGGTTAGAAGGGGTTACAGGGGGTTACAAAGGATTATGGAGACTTTTTTCTAACTAGAACGTTCCCATATACTTTTTCTTGGTCCATTTTGCATAAAAATCAAAGTTAAAGAAATCTCGCATTTTTGATCAAAACGATGGACTAACCCCTTTGGAAAAATTCTAATTTTGCGTTTTTGGTAAACAGTTGTTTTTATAGTCTTTAAAAGCTTCTTTTTTATCTAGAACGTCAGCAAACACTTTTTCTCGAACTATTTTTGATAAATACAAAAGATGAAAAAACTTCAACTTTTTGACCAAAATCATGGACTATCCCCTTTGCATAAATGCCAATTTTGCCTTCTTTTTAAATCCATGTTTATATTTTCTAGAAAGGCTTGCTTTCTAACGAGAACGTCACCAAATACTTTTTCTGGGTGTATTTTGCATAAAACGAAACGTTCACAAAATTTCCAATTTTTGACCAAAACAATGGACTAACCCCTTTGCAAAAATGCCAATTATGTGGGTTTTTGAAACCGATGTTTTTCTTGTTCAGAAAGGCTTGTTTGCTATATAAAACGTCGAAAATCGTTTTTTCACGATTTATTTTCACGATCTATGACATGGGAATACAGGGGTTACAAGCGGTTACAGAGGGTTACAAGGGGTTACAAGGGGTTACAAGGGGTTACAGGGGTTACAAGGGGTTACAAGGGGTGACAGGGGGGTGAGAAGGGGTTACAGGGGTTTACAAAGGATTATGGAAACTTTTTTCTAACTAGAACGTTCCCAGATACTTTTTCTTGGTCCATTTTGCATAAAAATCAAAGTTGAAGAAATCTCGAATTTTTGATCAAAACGATGGACTAACCCCTTTGGAAAAATTCTAATTTTGCGTTTTTCGTAAACAGTTGTTTTTATAGTCTTTAAAGGCTTCTTTTTTATCTAGAACGTCAGCAAACACTTTTTCTCGATCTATTTTTGATAAATACAAAACATGAAAAAACTTCAACTTTTTGACCAAAATCATGGCCTATCCCCTTTGCAAAAATGCCAATTTTGCCTTCTTTTTAAATCCATGTTTATATTGTCTAGAAAGGCTTGTTCTCTAACGAGAACGTCACCAAATACTTTTTCTGCGTGTATTTTGCATAAAACGAAACGTTCACAAAATTTCCAATTTTTGACCAAAACCATGGACTAACCCCTTTGCAAAAATGCCAATTTCGTGGGTTTTAAAAACCAATGCTTTTCTTGTTCAGAAAGGCTTCTTTGCTATATAAAACGTCGAAAATCGTTTTTTCACGATTTATTTTTACGATCTATGACATGGGAATACAGGGGGTTACAAGGGGTTACAGGGGGTTACAAGGGGTTACAAGGGCTTACAGGGGGTTACAAGGGGTTACAAGGGGTAACGGGGGTGACAAGGGGTTACAGGGGGTTACAAAGGAATATAGAAACTTTTTTCTAACTAGAACGTTCCCAGATACTTTTTCTTGGTCTATTTTGCCTAAAAATCAAAGTTGAAGAAATCTCTAATTTTTCATCAAAACGATGGACTAACCCCTTTGGAAAAATTGTAATGTTGCGTTTTTCGTAAACAGTTCTTTTTATAGTCTTTAAAGGCTTCTTTTTTTATCTAGAACGTCAGCAAACACTTTTTCTCGATCTATTTTTAATAAATACAAAAGATGAAAAAACTTCAACTTTTTGACAAAGATCATGGACTATCCCCTTTTTAAAAATGGCAATTTTGCCTTCTTTTTAAATCCATGTTTATATTGTCTAGACAGGCTTGTTTTCTAACGAGAACGTCACCAAATACTTTTTCTGGGTGTATTTGGCATAAAACAAAACGTTCACAAAATTTCCAATTTTTGACCAAAACCATGGACTAACCCCTTCGCAAAAATGCCAATTTTGTGGGTTTTTGAAACCGATGTTTTTCTTGTTCAGAAAGGCTTGTTTGCTATATAAAATGTCCAAAATCCTTTTTTCACGATTTATTTTTACGATTTATGACATGGGAATACCGGGGGTTACAAGGGGTTACAGGGGGTTACAAGGGATTACAAGGGGTTACAGGGGGTTACAAGGGATTACAAGGGGTGACAGGGGTGACAAGGGGTTAAGGGGGGGGTTACAAAGGATTATAGAAACTTTTTTCTAACTAGAACGTTCCCAGATACTTTTTCTTGGTCTATTTTGCATAAAAATCAAAGTTGAAGAAATCTCTGATTTTTGATCAAAACGATGGACTAACCCCTTTGGAAAAATTCTAATTTTGCGTTTTTCTCAAACAGTTGTTTTTATAGTCTTTAAAGGCTTCTTTTTTATCTAGAACGTCAGCAAACACTTTTTCTCGATCTATTTTTGATAAATACAAAAGATGAAAAGACTTCAACTTTTTGACCAAAATCATGGAAAAAATGCCAATTTTGCCTTCTTTTTGAATCCATGTTTATATTGTCTAGAAAGGCTTCTTTTCTAACGAGAACGTCACCAAATACTTTTTCTGGGTGTATTTTGCATAAAACGAAACGTTCACAAAATTTCCAATTTTTGACCAAAACCATAGACTAACCTTTGCAAAAATGCCAATTTTGTGGGTTTTTCAAACCGATGTTTTTCTTGTTCAGAAAGGCTTGTTTGCTATATAAAACGTCGAAGATCGTTTTTTCACGATTTGTTTTCACGATCTATGACATGGGAATACAGGGGGTTACCAGGGGTTACAGGGGGTTACAAGGGGTTACAAGGGGTTACAGGGGGTTACAAGGGGTTACAAGGGGTGACAGGGGTTAGAAGGGGTTACAGGGGTTTACAAAGGATTATGGAAACTTTTTTCTAACTAGAACGTTCCCAGATACTTTTTCTTGGTCCATTTTGCATAAAAATCAAAGTTGAAGAAATCTCGCATTTTTGATCAAAACGATGGACTAACCCCTTTGGAAAAATTCTAATTTTGCGTTTTTCGTAAACAGTTGTTTTTATAGTCTTTAAAAGCTTCTTTTTTTATCTAGAACGTCAGCAAACACTTTTTCTCGATCTATTTTTGATAAATACAAAACATGAAAAAAACTTCAACTTTTGACCAAAATCATGGACTATCCCCTTTGCAAAAATGCCAATTTTGCCTTCTTTTTAAATCCATGTTTATATTGTCTAGAAAGGCTTGTTTTCTAACGAGAACGTCACCAAATACTTTTTCTGCGTGTATTTTGCATAAAACGAAACGTTCACAAAATTTCCAATTTTTGACCAAAACCATGGACTAACCCCTTTGCAAAAATGCCAATTTCGTGGGTTTTAAAAACCAATGCTTTTCTTGTTCAGAAAGGCTTCTTTGCTATATAAAACGTCGAAAATCGTTTTTTTTCACGATTTATTTTTACGATCTATGACATGGGAATACAGGGGTTACAAGGGGTTACAGGGGGTTACAAGGGGTTACAAGGGGTTACAGGGGTTACAAGGGGTTACAAGGGGTAACAGGGGTGACAAGGGGTTACAGGGGTTACAAAGGATTATAGAAACTTTTTCTAACTAGAACGTTCCCAGATACTTTTTCTTGGTCTATTTTGCCTAAAAATCAAAGTTGAAGAAATCTCTAATTTTTCATCAAAACGATGGACTAACCCCTTTGGAAAAATTGTAATGTTGCGTTTTTCGTAAACAGTTCTTTTTATAGTCTTTAAAGGCTTCTTTTTTTATCTAGAACGTCAGCAAACACTTTTTCTCGATCTATTTTTAATAAATACAAAAGATGAAAAAACTTCAACTTTTTGACAAAGATCATGGACTATCCCCTTTTTAAAAATGGCAATTTTGCCTTCTTTTTAAATCCATGTTTATATTGTCTAGACAGGCTTGTTTTCTAACGAGAACGTCACCAAATACTTTTTCTGGGTGTATTTGGCATAAAACAAAACGTTCACAAAATTTCCAATTTTTGACCAAAACCATGGACTAACCCCTTTGCAAAAATGCCAATTTTGTGGGTTTTTCAAACCGATGTTTTTCTTGTTCAGAAAGGCTTGTTTGCTATATAAAATGTCCAAAATCCTTTTTTCACGATTTATTTTTACGATTTATGACATGGGAATACCGGGGGTTACAAGGGGTTACAGGGGGTTACAAGGGATTACAAGGGGTTACAGGGGGTTACAAGGGGTTACAAGGGGTGACAGGGGGTGACAAGGGGTTACAGGGGGTTACAAAGGATTATAGAAACTTTTTTCTAACTAGAACGTTCCCAGATACTTTTTCTTGGTCTATTTTGCATAAAAATCAAAGTTGAAGAAATCTCTAATTTTTGATCAAAACGATGGACTAACCCCTTTGGAAAAATTCTGATTTTGCGTTTTTCGTAAACAGTTGTTTTTATAGTCTTTAAAGGCTTCTTTTTTATCTAGAACGTCAGCAAACACTTTTTCTCGATCTATTTTTGATAAATACAAAAGATGAAAAAACTTCAACTTTTTGACCAAAATCATGGACTATCCCCTTTGCAAAAATGCCAATTTTGCCTTCTTTTTAAATCCATGTTTATATTGTCTAGAAAGGCTTGTTTTCTAACGAGAACGTCACCAAATACTTTTTCTGGGTGTATTTTGCATAAAACGAAACGTTCACAAAATTTCCAATTTTTGACCAAAACCATGGACTAACCCCTTTGCAAAAATGCAAATTTTGTGGGTTTTTCAAACCGATGTTTTTCTTGTTCAGAAAGGCTTGTTTGCTATATAAAACGTCGAAAATCGTTTTTTCACGATCTTTTTTTACGATCTATGACATGGGAATACCGGGGGTTACAAGGGGTTACAGGGGGTTACAAGGGGTTACAGGGGGTTACAAGGGGTTACAAGGGATGACAGGGGGTGACAAGGGGTAACAGCGGGTTACAAACAATTATAGAAACTTTTTTCTAACTAGAACGTTCGCAGATACTTTTTCTTGGTCTATTTTGCATAAAAATCAAAGTTGAAGAAATCTCTGATTATTGATCAAAACGATGGACTAACCCCTTTGGAAAAATTCTAATTTTGCGTTTTTCTCAAACAGTTGTTTTTATAGTCTTTAAAGACTTCTTTTTTTATCTAGAACGTCAGGAAACACTTTTTCTCGAAATATTTTTGATAAATACACAAGATGAAAAAACTTCAACTTTTTGACCAAAATCATGGACTAACCCCTTTGCAAAAATGCCAATTTTGTGGGTTTTTTTGAAACCGATGTTTTTCTTGTGCATAAAGAAAGGCTTGTTCCAATTTATATAAAATGTCGAAAATGCCAATTTTTTTTCACGATTTATTTTTATGATCTATGACATGGGAATACAGGGGTTACCAGGGGGGTTACAGGGGGTTACAAGGGGTTACAGGGGGGGTTACAAGGGGGGTGACAAGGGGTTACAGGGGGGATTATGACTAGAACGTTCCCAGATACTTTTTCTTGGTCTATTTTACAAAGTTGAAGAAATCTCGAATTTTTTATGGAAAGGATTATAGAAACAGTTTTTTTAACTTTAGAACGTTCCCAGATACTTTTTTTTCTTGGTCGATTTTGCATAAATAAAAATCTTTTGACCAAAATTGAAGCAAAAAAATTTTGCCTTCTTTTTAAATTTTTGATCAAAACGATGGACTAACCCTTTTTTGAAAAATTCTAATTTTGCGTTTTTCGTAAACAGTTGTTTTTATAGTCTTTAAAGACTTCTTTTTTATCTAGAACATCAGCAAACACTTTTTCTCGATCTATTTTTCATAAATACAAAAGATGAAAAAACTTCAACTTTTTGACCAAAATCATGGACTAACCCCTTTGCAAAAATGCCAATTTTGTGGGTTTTTCAAACCGATGTTTTTTTTGTTCAGAAAGGCTTGTTTGCTATATAAAACGTCGAAAATCGTTTTTTCACGATTTATTTTCACGATCTATGACATGGGAATACAGGGGGTTACAAGGGGTTACAGGGGGTTACAAGGGGTTACAAGGGGTTACAGGGGGTTACAAGGGGTTACAAGGGGTTACAGGGGGTTAAAAGGGGTTACAAGGGGTGACACGGGGTGACAGGGGGTGACAAGGGGTTACAGGGGGTTACAAAGGATTATAAAAACTTTTTTCTAACTAGAACGTTCCCAGATACTTTTACTTGGTGTATTTTGCATAAAAATCAAAGTTGAAGAAATCTCGAATTTTTGATCAAAACGATCGACTAACCCCTTTGGAAAAATTCTAATTTTGCGTTTTTCGTAAACAGTTGTTTTTATAGTCTTTAAAGGCTTCTTTTTTTATCTAGAACGTTAGCAAACACTTTTTGTCGATCTATTTTTGATAAATACAAAAGATGAAAAAACTTCAACTTTTTGACCAAAATCATGGACTATCCCCTTTGCAAAAATGCCAATTTTGCCTTCTTTTTGAATCCATGTTTATATTGTCTAGAAAGGCTTGTTTTCTTACGAGAACGTCACCAAATACTTTTTCTGGGTGTCTTTTGCATAAAACGAAACGTTCACAAAATTTCCAATTTTTGAACAAAACTATGGACTAACCCCTTTGCAAAAATGCCAATTTTGTGGGTTTTTCAAACCGATGTTTTTCTTGTTCAGAAAGGCTTGTTTGCTATATAAAACGTCGAAAGTCGTTATTTCAGGATTTATTTTCGCGATCTTTGACATGGGAATACAGGGGGTTACCAGGGGTTACAGGGGGTTATAAGGGGTTACAAGGGGTTACAAGGGGTTACAGGGGGTTACAAGGGGTTAAAAGGGGTTACAAGGGGTGACAGGCGATGACAAGGGGTTACAGGGGGTTACAAAGGATTATAGAAACTTTTTTCTAACTAGAACGTTCCCAGATACTTTTTCTTGGTCTATTTTGCATAAACATCAAAGTTGAAGAAATCTCGAATTTTTGATCAAAACGATGGACTAACCCCTTTGGAAAAATTCTAATTTTGCGTTTTTAAACAGTTGTTTTTATAGTCTTTATTTTTCTTTTTAAATCTAAACGTTCAGCAAAACTTTTTTCTCGATCTATTTTTGATAAATACAAAAGATGAAAAAACCAACTTTTTGGACCAAAACATGGAAATCCCCTTTGCAAAAATGCCAATTTTGTGGGTTTTTCAAACCGATGTTTTTTTCTTGTTCTAACGAGAAAGGCAAATTTTTTGTGTATATAAAACGTCGACAAAAATCGTTTTGCAAAAACGATTTTTGGGTTTTCATGTTTCTCTTGTTCATGGGACAGGGGCTATATAAAACGTCGAAAATCGTTTTTTCACAATTTACTTTCACGATCTATGACATGGGAATACAGGGGGTTACCAGGGGTTACAGGGGGTTACAAGGGGTTACAAGGGGTTACAAGGGGTGACAGGGGGTGACAAGGGATTACAGGGGGTTACAAAGGATTATAGAAACTTTTTTCTAACTAGAACGTTCCCAGATACTTTTTACTGGTCTATTTTTCATAAAAATCAAAGTTGAAGAAATCTCGAATTTTTGATCAAAACGATGGACTAACCCCTTTGGAAAAATTCTAATTTTGCGTTTTTCGTAAACAGTTGTTTTTATAGTCTTTAAAGGCTTCTTTTTTATCTAGAACGTCAGCAAACACTTTTTCTCGATCTATTTTTCATAAATACAAAAGATGAAAAAACTTCAACTTTTTGACCAAAATCATGGACAATCCCCTTTGCAAAAATGCCAATTTTGCCTTCTTTTTAAATCCATGTTTATATTGTCTAAAAAGGCTTGTTTTCTAACGAGAACGTCACCAAATACTTTTTCTGGGTGTATTTTGCATAAAACGAAACGTTCACAAAATTTCCAATTTTTGACCAAAACCATGGACTAAACCCTTTGCAAAAATGCCAATTTTGTGGGTTTTTGAAACCCATGTTTTTCTTGTTCAGAAAGGCTTGTTTGCTATATAAAACGTCGAAAATCGTTTTTTCACGATTTATTTTCACGATCTATGACATGGGAATACAAGGGGTTACCAGGGGTTACAGGGGGTTACAAGGGGTTACAAGGGGTTACAGGGGGTTACAAGGGGTTACAAGGGGTGACAGGGGTGACAAGGGGTTACAGGGGGTTACAAAGGATTATAGAAACTTTTTTCTAACTAGAACGTTCCCAGATATTTTTACTTGGTGTATTTTGCATAAAAATCAAAGTTGAAGAAATCTCTAATTTTTGATCAAAACGATGGACTAACCCCTTTGGAAAAATTCTAATTTTGCGTTTTTCGTAAACAGTTGTTTTTATAGTCTTTAAAGGCTTCTTTTTTATCTAGAACGTCAGCAAACACTTTTTCTCGATCTATTTTTGATAAATACAAAAGATGAAAAAACTTCAACTTTTTGACCAAAATCATGGACAAAAATGCCAATTTTGCCTTCTTTTTAAATCCATGTTTATATTGTCTAGAAAGGCTTGTTTTCTAACGAGAACGTCACCAAATACTTTTTCTGGGTGTATTTTGCATAAAACGAAACGTTCACAAAATTTCCAATTTTTGACCAAAACCATAGACTAAACCCTTTGCAAAAATGCCAATTTTGTGGGTTTTTGAAACCGATGTTTTTCTTGTTCAGAAAGGCTTGTTTGCTATATAAAACGTCGAAGATCGTTTTTTCACGATTTATTTTCACGATCTATGACATGGGAATACAGGGGGTTACCAGGGGTTACAGGGGGTTACAAGGGGTTACAAGGGGTTACAAGGGGTTACAGGGGGTTACAAGGGGTTACAAGGGGTGACAGGGGGTGACAAGGGGTTACTGGGGATTACAAAGGATTATAGAAACTTTTTTCTAACTAGAACGTTCCCAGATACTTTTTACTGGTCTATTTTGCATAAAAATCAAAGTTGAAGAAATCTCGAATTTTTGATCAAATTGATGGACTAACCCCTTTGGAAAAATTCTAATTTTGCGTTTTTCGTAAACAGTTGTTTTTATAGTCTTTAAAGGCTTCTTTTTTATCTAGAACGTCAGCAAACACTTTTTCTCGATCTATTTTTGATAAATACAAAAGATGAAAAAACTTCAACTTTTTGACCAAAATCATGGACTATCCCCTTTGCAAAAATGCCAATTTTGCCTTCTTTTTAAATCCATGTTTATATTGTCTAGAAAGGCTTGTTTTCTAACGAGAACGTCACCAAATACTTTTTCTGGGTGTATTTTGCATAAAACGAAACGTTCACAAAATTTCCAATTTTTGACCAAAACCATGGACTAACCCCTTTGCAAAAATGCCAATTTTGTGGGTTTTTGAAACCGATGTTTTTCTTGTTCAGAAAGGCTTGTTTGCTATATAAAACGTCGAAAATCGTTTTTTCACGATTTATTTTCACGATCTATGACATGGGAATACAAGGGGTTACCAGGGGTTACAGGGGGTTACAAGGGGTTACAAGGGGTTACAGGGGGTTACAAGGGGTTACAAGGGGTGACAGGGGGTGACAAGGGGTTACAGGGGGTTACAAAGGATTATAGAAACTTTTTTCTAACTAGAACGTTCCCAGATACTTTTACTTGGTCTATTTTGCATAAAAATCAAAGTTGAAGAAATCTCGAATTTTTGATCAAAACGATGGACTAACCCCTTTGGAAAAATTCTAATTTTGCGTTTTTCCTAAACAGTTGTTTTTATAGTCTTTAAAGGCTTCTTTTTTTATCTAGAACGTCAGCAAACACTTTTTCTCGATCTATTTTTGATAAATACAAAAGATGAAAAAACTTCAACTTTTTGACCAAAATCATGGACTATCCCCTTTGCAAAAATGCCAATTTTGCCTTCTTTTTAAATCCATGTTTATATTGTCTAGAAAGGCTTGTTTTCTAACGAGAACGTCACCAAATACTTTTTCTGGGTGTATTTTGCATAAAACGAAACGTTCACAAAATTTCCAATTTTTGACCAAAACCATGGACTAACCCCTTTGCAAAAATGCCAAATTTGTGGGTTTTTTAAACCGATGTTTGTCTTGTTCAGAAAGGCTTGTTTGCTATATAAAACGTCGAAAATCGTTTTTTCACGATTTATTTTCACGATCTATGACATGGGAATACAGGGGGTTACCAGGGGTTACAGGGGGTTACAAGGGGTTACAAGGGGTTACAAGGGGTTACAGGGGGTTACAAGGGGTTAAAAGGGGTGACAGGGGGTGACAAGGGGTTACAGGGGGTTACAAAGGATTATAGAAACTTTTTTCTAACTAGAACGTTCCCAGATACTTTTTCTTGGTCTATTTTGCATAAAAATCAAAGTTGAAGAAATCTTGAATTTTTGATCAAATTGATGAACTAACCCCTTTGGAAAAATTCTAATTTTGCGTTTTTCGTAAACAGTTGTTTTTATAGTCTTTAAAGGCTTCTTTTTTATCTAGAACGTCAGCAAACACTTTTTCTCGATCTATTTTTGATAAATACAAAAGATGAAAAAACTTCAACTTTTTGACCAAAATCATGGACTATCCCCTTTGCAAAAATGCCAATTTTGCCTTCTTTTTAAATCCATGTTTATATTGTCTAGAAAGGCTTGTTTTCTAACGAGAACGTCACCAAATACTTTTTCTGGGTGTATTTTGCATAAAACGAAACGTTCACAAAATTTCCAATTTTTGACCAAAACCATGGACTAAAGCCTTTGCAAAAATGCCAATTTTGTGGGTTTTTGAAACCGATGTTTTTCTTGTTCAGAAAGGCTTGTTTGCTATATAAAACGTCGAAAATCGTTTTTTCACGATTTATTTTCACGATCTATGACATGGGAATACAGGGGGTTACAAGGGGTTACAGGGGGTTACAAGGGGTTACAAGGGGTTACAGGGGGTTACAAGGGGTTACAGGGGGTTACAAAGGGTTACAAGGGGTGACAGGGGGTGACAAGGGGTTACAGGGGATTACAAAGGATTATAAAAACTTTTTTCTAACTAGAACGTTCCCAGATACTTTTACTTGGTGTATTTTGCATAAAAATCAAAGTTGAAGAAATCTCTAATTTTTGATCAAAACGATGGACTAACCCCTTTGGAAAAATTCTAATTTTGCGTTTTTCGTAAACAGTTGTTTTTATAGTCTTTAAAGGCTTCTTTTTTATCTAGAACGTCAGCAAACACTTTTTGTCGATCTATTTTTCATAAATACAAAAGATGAAAAAACTTCAACTTTTTGACCAAAATCATGGACTATCCCCTTTGCAAAAATGCCAATTTTGCCTTCTTTTTAAATCCATGTTTATATTGTCTAGAAAGGCTTGTTTTCTAACGAGAACGTCACCAAATACTTTTTCTGGGTGTATTTTGCATAAAACGAAACGTTCACAAAATTTCCAATTTTTGACCAAAACCATGGACTAACCCCTTTGCAAAAATGCCAATTTTGTGGGTTTTTGAAACCGATGTTTTTCTTGTTCAGAAAGGCTTGTTTGCTATATAAAACGTCGAAAATCGTTTTTTCACGATTTATTTTCACGATCTATGACATGGGAATACAGGGGGTTACCAGGGCTTACAGGGGGTTACAACGGGTTACAAGGGGTGACAGGGGGTTACAAGGGGTGACAAGGGGTGAGAAGGGGTTACAGGGGGTTACAAAGGATTATAGAAACTTTTTTCTAACTAGAACGTTCCCAGACACTTTTTCTTGGTCTATTTTGCATAAAAATCAAAGTTGAAAAAATCTCTAATTTTTGATCAAAACGATGGACTAACCCCTTTGGAAAAATTCTAATTTTGCGTTTTTCGTAAACAGTTGTTTTTATAGTCTTTAAAGGCTTCTTTTTTATCTAGAACGTCAGCAAATACTTTTTCTCGATCTATTTTGGATAAATACAAAAGATGAAAAAACTTCAACTTTTTGACCAAAATCATGGACTATCCCCTTTGCAAAAATGCCAATTTTGCCTTCTTTTTAAATCCATGTTTATATTGTCTAGAAAGGCTTGTTTTCTAACGAGAATGTCACCAAATACTTTTTCTGGGTGTATTTTGCATAAAACGAAACGTTCACAAAATTTCCAATTTTTGACCAAAACCATGGACTAACCCCTTTGCAAAAAGGCCAATTTTGTGGGTTTTTCAAACCGATGTTTTTCTTGTTCAGAAAGGCTTCTTTGCTATATAAAACGTCGAAAATCGTTTTTTCACAATTTATTGTCACGAACTATGACATGGGAATACAGGGGGTTACCAGGGGTTACAGGGGGTTACAAGGGGTTACAGGGGGTTACAGGGGGGTAAAAGGGGTGACAGGGGGTGACAAGGGGTTACAGGGGGTTACAAAGGATTATAGAAACTTTTTTCTAACTAGAACGTTCCCACATACTTTTTCTTGCTCTATTTTGCATAAAAAACAACGTTGAAGAAATCTCTAATTTTTGATCAAAACGATGGACTAACCCCTTTGGAAAAATTCTAATTTTGCGTTTTTCGTAAACAGTTGTTTTTATAGTCTTTAAAGGCTTCTTTTTTATCTAGAACGTCAGCAAACACTTTCTCTCGATCTATTTTTCATAAATACAAAAGATGAAAAAACTTCAACTTTTTGACCAAAATCATGGACTATCCCCTTTGCAAAAATGCCAATTTTGCCTTCTTTTTAAATCCATGTTTATATTGTCTAAAAAGGCTTGTTTTCTAACGAGAACGTCACCAAATACTTTTTCTGGGTGTATTTTGCATAAAACGAAACGTTCACAAAATTTCCAATTTTTGACCAAAACCATGGACTAAACCCTTTGCAAAAATGCCAATTTTGTGGGTTTTTGAAACCGATGTTTTTCTTGTTCAGAAAGGCTTGTTTGCTATATAAAACGTCGAAAATCGTTTTTTCACGATTTATTTTCACGATCTATGACATGGGAATACAGGGGGTTACCAGGGGTTACAGGGGGTTACAAGGGGTTAAAAGGGGTGACAGGGGGTTACAAGGGGTGACAAGGGGTGACAAGGGGTTACAGGGGGTTACAAAGGATTATAGAAACTTTTTTCTAACTAGAACGTTCCCAGATACTTTTTCTTGCTCTATTTTGCATAAAAATCAAAGTTGAAAAAATCTCTAATTTTTGATCAAAACGATGGACTAACCCCTTTGGAAAAATTCTAATTTTGCGTTTTTCGTAAACAGTTGTTTTTATAGTCTTTAAAGGCTTCTTTTTTATCTAGAACGTCAGCAAACACTTTCTCTCGATCTATTTTTGATAAATACAAAAGATGAAAAAACTTCAACTTTTTGACCAAAATCATGGACTATCCCCTTTGCAAATATGCCAATTTTGCCTTCTTTTTAAATCCATGTTTATATTGTCTAGAAAGGCTTGTTTTCTAACGAGAACGTCACCAAATACCTTTTCTGGGTGTATTTTGCATAAAACGAAACGTTCACAAAATTTCCAATTTTTGACAAAAACCAGGGACTAACCCCTTTGCAAAAATGCCAATTTTGTCGGTTTTTCAAACCGATGTTTTTCTTGTTCAGAAAGGCTTGTTTGCTATATAAAACGTCGAAAATCGTTTTTTCACCACTTATTTTCACGATCTATGACATGGGAATACAGGGGGTTACCAGGGGTTACAGGGGGTTACAGAAGGTTACAAGGGGTTACAAGGGGTGACAGGGGGTGACAAGGGGTTACAGGGGGTTACAAACGATTATAGAAAATTTTTACTAACTAGAACGTTCCCAGATACTTTTCTTGGTCTATTTTGCATAAAAATCAAAGTTGAAGAAATCTCGAATTTTTGATCAAAACGATGGACTAACCCCTTTGGAAAAATGCCAATTTTGTGGGTTTTTCAAACCGATGTTTTTCTTGTTCAGAAAGGCTTCTTTGCTATATAAAACGTCGAAAATCGTTTTTTCACCATTTATTTTCACGATCTATGACATGGGAATACAGGGGGTTACAAGGGGTTACAGGGGGTTACAAGGGGATACAAGGGGTGACAGGGGGTGACAAGGGGTTACAGGGGGTTACAAAGGATTATAGAAACTTTTTTCTAACTAGAACGTTCCCAGATACTTTTTCTTCGTCTATTTTGCATAAAAATCAAAGTTAAAGAAATCGCGAATTTTTGATCAAAACGATGGACTAACCCCATTGGAAAAATTCTAATTTTGCGTTTTTCGTAAACAGTTGTTTTTTGACAAGGGATGACAAGGGGTTACAGGGGGTTACAAAGGATTATAGAAACTTTTTTCTAACTAGAACGTTCCCAGATACTTTTTCTTGGTCTATTTTGCATAAAAATCAAAGTTGAAGAAATCTCGCATTTTTGATCAAAACGATGGACTAACCCCTTTGGAAAAATTCTAATTTTGCGTTTTTCGTAAACAGTTGTTTTTATAGTCTTTGAAGGCTTCTTTTTTTATCTAGAACGTCAGCAAACACTTTTTCTCGATCTATTTTTGATAAATACAAAAGATGAAAAAACTTCAACTTTTTGACCAAAATCATGGACTATCGGGGAGTCCCCTTTGCAAAAATGCCAATTTTGCCTTCTTTTTAAATCCATTTTTATATTGTCTAGAAAGGCTTGTTTTCTAACGAGAACGTCACCAAATACTTTTTCTGGGTGTATTTTGCATAAAACGAAACGTTCACAAAATTTCCAATTTTTGACAAAAACCATGGACTAACCCCTTTGCAAAAACGCCAATTTTGTCCGTTTTTCAAACCGATGTTTTTCTTGTTCAGAAAGGCTTGTTTGCTATATAAAACGTCGAAAATCGTTTTTTCACGATTTATTTTCACGATCTATGACATGGGAATACAGGGGGTTACCAGGGGTAAGGGTTTACAGGGGGTTATAAGGGATTACAAGGGGTTACAGGAGGTTACAAGGGGTTACAAGGGGTGACAGGGGGTGACAAGGGGTTACAGGGGGTTACAAAGGATTATAGAAACTTTTTTCTAACTAGAACGTTCCCAGATACTTTTTCTTGGTCTATTTTGCATAAAAATCAAAGTTGAAGAAATCTCTAATTTTTGATCAAAACGATGGACTAACCCCTTTGGAAAAATTCTAATTTTGCGTTTTTTGTAAACAGTTGTTTTTATAGTCTTTAAAGGCTTCTTTTTTATCTACAACGCCAGCAAACACTTTTTCTCGATCTATTTTTGATAAATACAAAAGCTGAAAAAACTTCAACTTTTTGACCAAAATCATGGACTTTGCAAAAATGCCAATTTTGCCTTCCTTTGAAATCCATGTTTATATTGTCTAAAAAGGCTTGTTTTCTAACGAGAACGTAACCAAATACTTTTTCTGGGTGTATTTTGCATAAAACGAAACGTTCACAAAATTTCCAATTTTTGACCAAAACCATGGACTAACCCCTTTGCAAAAATGCCAATTTTGTGGGTTTTTCAAACCGATGGTTTTCTTGTTCAGAAAGGCTTGTTTGCTATATAAAACGTCGAAAATCGTTTTTTCACGATTTATTTTCACGATCTATGACATGGGAATACAGGGGGTTACCAGGGGTTACAGGGGGTTACAAGGGGTTACAAGGGGTTACAGGGGGTTACAAGGGGTTACAAGCGGTGACAGGGGGTGACAAGGGGTTACAGGGGGTTACAAAGGATTATAGAAACTTTTTTCTAACTAGAACGTTCCCAGATACTTTTTCTTGGTCTATTTTGCATAAAAATCAAAGTTGAAGAAATCTCGAATTTTTGATCAAAACGATGGACTAACCCCTTTGGAAAAATTCTAATTTTGCGTTTTTCGTAAACAGTTGTTTTTATAGTCTTTAAAGGCTTCTTTTTTATCTAGAACGTCAGCAAACACTTTTTCTCGATCTATTTTTGATAAATACAAAAGATGAAAAAACTTCAACTTTTTGACCAAAATCATGGACTATCCCCTTTGCAAAAATGCCAATTTTGCCTTCTTTTTAAATCCATGTTTATATTGTCTAGAAAGGCTTGTTTTCTAACGAGAACGTCACCAAATACTTTTTCTGGGTGTATTTTGCATAAAACGAAACGTTCACAAAATTTCCAATTTTTGACCAAAACCATGGACTAAACCCTTTGCAAAAATGCCAATTTTGTGGGTTTTTAAAACCGATGTTTTTCTTGTTCAGAAAGGCTTCTTTGCTATATAAAACGTCGAAAATCGTTTTTTCACGATTTATTTTCACGATCTATGACATGAGAATACAGGGGGTTACAAGGGGTTACAGAGGGTTACAAGGGGTTACAAGGGGTTACAGGGGGTTACAAGGGGTTACAAGGGGTGACAGGGGGGTGACAGGGGGGTGACAAGGGGTTACAGGGGGTTACAAAGGATTATAGAAACTTTTTTCTAACTAGAACGTTCCCAGATACTTTTTCTTGGTCTATTTTTCATAAAAATCAAAGTTGAAGAAATCTCTAATTTTTGATCAAAACGATGGACTAACCCCTTTGGAAAAATTCTAATTTTGTGTTTTTCGTAAACAGTTGTTTTAATAGTCTTTAAAGGCTTCTTTTTTATTTAGATCGTCAGGAAACACTTTTTCTCGAGCTATTATTGACAAATACAAAAGATGAAAAAACTTCAACTTTTTGACCAAAATCATGGACTATCGCCTTGCAAAAATGCCAATTTTGCCTTCTTTTTAAATCCATGTTTATATTGTCTAAAAAGGCTTGTTTTCTAACGAGAACGTCACCAAATACTTTTTCTGGGTGTATTTTGCATAAAACGAAACTTTCACAAAATTTCCAATTTTTGACCAAAACCATGGACTCACGCCTTTGCAAAAATGCCAATTTTGTGGGTTTTTCAAACCGATGTTTTTCTTGTTCAGAAAGGCTTGTTTGCTATATAAAACGTCGAAAATCGTTTTTTCACGATTTATTTTTACGATCTATGACATGGGAATACCGGGGGTTACAAGAGGTTACAGGCGGTTACAAGGGGTTACAGGGGGTTACAAGGGGTTACAAGGGGTGACAGGGGGTGACAACGGGTTACAGGGGGTTACAAAGGATTATAGAAACTTTTTTCTATCTAGAACGTTCGCAGATACTTTTTCTTGGACTATTTTGCAGAAAAATCAAAGTTGAACAAATCTCGAATTTTTGATCAAAACGATGGAAAAATTCTAATTTTGCGTTTTTCGTAAACAGTTGTTTTAATAGTCTTTAAAGGCTTCTTTTTTATTTAGAACGTCAGGAAACACTTTTTCTCGATCTATTATTGACAAATACAAAAGATGAAAAAACTTCAACTTTTTGACCAAAATCATGGACTATCCCCTTGCAAAAATGCCAATTTTGCCTTCTTTTTAAATCCATGTTTATATTGTCTAAAAAGGCTTGTTTTCTAACGAGAACGTCACCAAATACTTTTTCTGGGTGTATTTTGCATAAAACGAAACTTTCACAAAATTTCCAATTTTTGACCAAAACCATGGACTAACCCCTTTGCAAAAATGCAAATTTTGTGGGTTTTTCAAACCGATGTTTTTCTTGTTCAGAAAGGCTTGTTTGCTATATAAAACGTCGAAAATCGTTTTTTCACGATTTATTTTTACGATCTATGACATGGGAATACCGGGGGTTACAAGAGGTTACAGGCGGTTACAAGGGGTTACAAGGGGTGACAGGGGGTGACAACGGGTTACAGGGGGTTACAAAGGATTATAGAAACTTTTTTCTATCTAGAACGTTCGCAGATACTTTTTCTTGGTCTATTTTGCAGAAAAATCAAAGTTGAAGAAATCTCTAATTTTTGATCAAAACGATGGAAAAATTCTAATTTTGCGTTTTTCGTAAACAGTTGTTTTTATAGTCTTTAAAGGCTTCTTTTTTATTTAGAACGTCAGGAAACACTGTTTCTCGATCTATTTTTGATAAATACAAAAGATGAAAAAACTTCAAATTTTTGACCAAAATCATGGACTATCCCCTTTGCAAAAATGCCAATTTTGCCTTCTTTTTAAATACATGTTTTTATTGTCTAGAAAGGCTTGTTTTCTAACGAGAACGTCACCAAATACTTTTTCTGGGTGTATTTTGCATAAAACGAAACGTTCACAAAATTTCCAATTTTTGACCAAAACCATGGACTAAACCCTTTGCAAAAATGCCAATTTTGTGGGTTTTTAAAACCGATGTTTTTGTTGTTCAGAAAGGCTTCTCTGCTATATAAAACGTCGAAAATCGTTTTTTCACGATTTATTTTCACGATCTATGACATGAGAATACAGGGGGTTACAAGGGGTTACAGGGGGTTACAAGGGGTTACAAGGGGTGACAGGGGGGTGACAAGGGGTTACAGGGGGATACAAAGGATTATAGAAACTTTTTTCTAACCAGAACGTTCCCAGATACTTTTTGTTGGCCTATTTTGCATAAAAATCAAAGTTGAAGAAATTTCAAATTTTTTACCAAAACCGTGGACTAACCCCTTTGGAAAAATTCTAATTTTGCGCTTTTCGTAAACAGTTGTTTTTATAGTCTTTAAAGGCTTCTTTTTTATCTAGAACGTCAGCAAACACTTTTTCTCGATCTATTTTTGATAAACACAAAAGATGAAAAAACTTTAAGATTTTGACCAAAATCATGGACTATCCCCTTTGGAAAAACGCTAATTTTGCCTTCTTTTTAAATCCATGTTTATATTGTCTAGAAGGGCTTGTTTTCTAACGACAACGTGAACGTCACCAAATACTTTTTCTTGGTGTATTTTGCATAAAACGAAACGTTGACCAAAATGTCAAATTGTTGATTAAAACCATGGACTAACCCGTTTGGAAAAATGCCAATTTTGCGTTCTTTTTAAATCCATGGTTATATTGTCTAGAAAAGATTTTTTTCTAACGAGAACGTCACGAAATACTCTTTCTCACTGCACTTTTTATAAAACGAAATGTTAACAAAATTTCAAATCTTTGATTAATATTATGGACTAATCCCTTTGGAAAAATGCCAATTTTGTGGGTTTTTTAAACTGATGTTTTTATGGTCGAAAATCGGTTTTCTACGATTTATGTTCACGATTTATTAGATGGGAATACAGGGAGTTACAAGGGGTTACAGGGGATTACAAGGGGTTAGACGAGGTTATAAGGGGCGAGAGGGGGCTACAAAGGGTGACAGGAGGTGACAGGGGGTGACAAGGGGTTACAGGGGTTACAAGGGGTGACAGAGGGTGACAAGGGGTTACAGAGGGTTACAAGGGGTGACAGGGGGTTGCAAGGGGTTACAGGGACTTACAAAGGGTACGCGGATTTAATAGTGGTGTCTTGGTTTTTTATTATAACAAAAGTCGCAGAAAGTTTAAATTCATGACGAAAACGACGGACTTGCTCCTTTGGAGAAATACCAATTTTGTGGTTTTCTTAATCTTTTTTAATGTCTAAAAAGGCTTATTTTCCACGAAAAACGTTAGCATATACAGTGAAACCTGTATTAAGCGGACACCCTTGGGGAATACTGTGGTTTCCGCTTAATACAGGGTGTCTGCCTAATACTAATGCCATTCAAATGAACAGTGGAAACGTTTAGAATACTCCCAGACACTATGACGATATACGTTTGCATGAATTTCTTTATCAAAGTGGACCAATTGATCATAGTACCTTTAACATAGATTGCAACTCAAATTTGAAGAAATCAGATGACTGAAAAAGCTCTATACAAACAAAACGAAATAGAAAACAATACTGTACTGGGAAACTAATCACATAAGTTTGTCAAGTTACGTTTTTTAATGTAAAAATCGAAAAATTTGTGGGTGGTAATTCGAGGCAATCTTTCGCATTTCCAGTGTCTGGCATGTTGGGTGGTGGCATTTAATTACAAGTGTCCATTTATTACAGGTTGGCAACAATAGAAATGACCATTTCAGGTACTTTTTAGGTGTAAACGTCCGCTTAATAGAGGTGTCCGCTTAATAAAGGTTTCATTTAAAGTAAATAAGGGAAATAAATTTGGGGACTTCGGCTACTGTCCACTTAATAGAGAGTGTCCGCTTAATACGGTGTGTGCTTAATACAAGTTGTACTGTACTTTATTTTGCATAAAAAAAAAATTCAGAAAATTTCAAATTTTTGATCTAAACCATGGGTTAACCCCTTTAGAATTGTAGTGTTTACAGGCATAATTATAAAGCATACTAACCATGATGTACAAAAAATTTTCCAGTTCCTGGAGCTCCATCGGAAGGTGTTCTGGTGTGAGACCAGCTGTTCCAATGCGTATGGAACATACTTTTAATGGCAGTAGGCAATCTCCTGCAAAATAATCACTTTGCTATTCAGCAATTAATTAATGTAATACTTATTATACACTTGCAAACTTCGATCTGAATGAAGCTGAAGAATAAAATGTATATGTATTTGTATTTTATTTATTTGTCACCGCCACCATTACTCCACACCAATAGTGTAACACACTTGCTTCTTTCAGGTAGTTTCGTAAGAATTGTATTTTCTCGTGGGAGGCCAATTTGCCCTATCAGCGACAAAAAATTATTAAAATTACAAACTCACCTTAGGGGTAGGGGATCAGCATCTATATTTTCTTCAGTCCAGTTATCTCCCTGTTTTGCCAATCCACTGAGACTAGAAACAGATCAAACCCAAGATTTCATTAATGTTAACATTAAAAAGATCAAGTCAGTAAATACACTTACTACCAAGTGAGCTTGACGCAGTAAAACATATCTTTATATGTTAAAAAATTATTTAGTTAATCACAGGGGGCCAAGACACAAACTGTTTGCTAACAAACCAAATTATGTAATTTTAAGGTAAATGTACTGTATTTACCTTTTGCTTCATAACTGTAGTAGAACATATATCACTAAAATAAGTACATGTATCAAAACGTAAATTGTCATCCTTTTGCCTTAAGAAGTGGTATTTTCCTTTAATAGACAGACTCTCTATTAACAAGAACAGTTAAAAACAGCAAGCTCAAATTCCTTCAACATTGCTCAAAATTAATATCACTTCTGACCCGGGGGGTACTTCCCATAATGGCCTATACGGGGAGGCTCCGCCCAAAAGGGGTACCTTTAAACGCTTCAGGTATATGAATTTTAACAGCTGAAATATACGAGAGGGTAGGGAAATCTGTCATTTGGCTCTGTGAAAGAGCCCAAAGGGCTAACAGATAAATCTTATGGCTTTATAAAGTCAAGAAAATGTGCTATTTTTATAATTAACACCTATTTAAATGACAGTGATTTACAGCAGTTAAAAGGGATGCAACATTCTAAACAAGGTATGTGAAAGAGGTACCATTTGTCAATAGAAGGTATGCAAAAGGGGCACCTTTTCCATGAAAAATGGTTTATAAAAGGGTAAGGGGTTGGACCTCCTGGCGGAGCTTCCCCGTATAAAAATGTGTTATTTGTTGAGTCCCCTCCCTGTCCCCCCCCCCATATTTAGTAATATACTGGTACAGAATTTTGAAGGTAATTAATGGTAATTAATCAGTGGTTTTGCAGCAAAAAATGCTGAAATAAAATTGTTTGACATTTCATTGGTGTTAATGCAGAACATTACATGGTTGCTTGGGGATTCAAAATTTCTTTTCTTGTGTTGAAACACCTTTCAATCATTTTTTGCTTATGACTGCTAACATCCTGAAATATTTTTCAATACTTGAAGAGGGATTTCATACTTCTGCACTTCTTCAAAATGTTTCTAATAACTGTCACTTGAATTCTAAGTAATTTTTGAAGTAAATAATATAGTAATATTGTATTGTCTTCAAACCTGAAATTTCATAGAAAGATGAGTTTATGTTATAGAAATTCCCAAATCTGAAGATACTGTAGAAATCAAAGGTTAAGGCTGACTTAAAGAGTTATATACACAGAGGGCCAGGTCTACAGTACCAAGTGCTGCAGGTCACATTTTCACAGGTCAAGAGTACGGGTCAGTGCTCCATCAATAAGTTACCAAACCACATGGATTTGCCTCGATCTCATCGAGGATTTTTTTAAGAGATTACGGCTAGGAAACACTTTTAACACTGTTTATTTATGTACAGTATCATGGTGACTGTACTCTGACCAGTGAAAAACTAACCTATGTTTTAGACCCAGCCTTCTGTACTAAATAACACTCGTGATTTATATAGCTGTTAGTTTATCCGATATTGCAAGTGAAGTGATTATCCTTTAATTTTTACGAATTGTCCAATTAAGGATTAATTTGGATAGTTTCAGATAGGACTTTCCTTTTCAAATAGGCAAACTGTCCAAGTTAGGAAAAATAGGACAGCTGGTCTGAGCCAATCAAATGCTAGAAAATACAATAGTCAATGCAAACTAGCCAATCAGAGCAAAAACCCTTAGACAACACAGCAAAAAAGTCTTGTTGGCTGATGGCTGTTTGTCTGCGAACACTTTGGCTCCTTGTTGCTGTGAATGTTGTTTTGTTTTGCTTCTGTTTTGTTTTGGCTTCAGCCTGCCACTTTGATTATTATAGTAGCTTGGCATTTCCTTTTAAAGGTGTCAAAGGATTTAGCTCATGATTGATACCTTTTAATAAGGGAAGGACTTTCACTCCCATCTGCATGAGCAGCAGCCAACAACTCAGTAGCAATACTTTTTCTAATACAACAAATGTTCAGGTATCAAAATCCTCCCAAAAAGGCAATTTTAATATACATGATAGATCTCTTAGTCACCACGCAAGTTTAATTCTATCATGCAAAAAGTTAGAAATTGAATGCTTCATTTACCGTATCCCAAAACTACGAGCTCTTCTGAGCGAGAATTTGTGAAAATATTGGTTTTAAGCTGCTTGTACCTAATACTTCATGAAAGTATAAAGTCAGGAGGATGAATAGCTCTTTCGTTTTGAGCTTGTAAAGGAGACAAAACCTGCCGCTGTATTTGCTCGGGTTTCACGGTTATAGATAAAGAGATTACTGAAATCTTGATTTTTTAAAAAATTCTTTCTTTACTCCTTCTTACACACACCTATAATCTAGACTAACTAATTAATTAACAATAACTATTTGTACAAGCTGTCAGAAATGGAGTATAAGAGAAACAAGTAAATGAAAGATATTTTTGAAAAATATATACAAGTAACATGGAAAATGCATGCAAAACTTTTTTTTCTTTTTTTACTAACTATTGTACGTTCCTACTGTCTAATGAAACTAAATTTAATATTAACAAAATATGGGGAAAAAAGGATTATTTACATGCTTTGGTTGAAGGCTAAATTAACTTAACATTAAATATTAATAAGGCAATTAAACAACTCAAGGGCAAATAAATCCATGATACCAATAAAAATTATCATATACAAAGAAAAAGGTGCATGAAATGAAATATGTCAGACTGTAAGTTGTACATATCAAAATTACAGAATTTATGGAAAATATAGGAAAATAAAGCAAACGAAATATGAGAAAAGTTCAAGTAAATTTAAATAAAAAATTAAAAATAGAAAAAGAATTAAGGCTTAAGAAACATTTAACCTAGAAAAAATACAATGCAATGATACACTGCCCGGTACGAAAACCCGGAAAAAAACCCATTGGGACAAAAAACCCGGGAACGTACTCCTCGATCAAATGCAGTGTATTGGGCTCCGAGGATTAGAGCTTTCAATACCTAACTTCCTATCTAAGGTAAAAAATAAGAAGCATGAATGCAGGTGCGGATCTACATTAATTACCCTGTCTCATGAAAATCAGGCACACTTTTCATAAATAAATATATTAATATATAGTATTGCAGATAAGTATATACACACATTCAATAATTTGGTTTTCTAAGCAATCTAATTGATTTGCAAGTCAGCCAATAGATAATGGTCACACTATTCATATAGATTTTGTGCTGTTCACACGTAGCAACAGTGAATTTGGGGCGCTATCTGCAACAGAGCAAAGCTTTGACCATGCTTGCACTGCACCAATCTCTTAAGTGGAAAGTCAAATATCACATTAGTTTCATACTTTTACAGTGTAGTGTGAGGTATTGGTAAGGGAATGTGGAACAAAAGATTATGTTGAAAAAAAGTGCCGTGGTTTAGTGTAAGTCCCATATGAGATGATGTTTGTTGGAAATTTTGAATTAAACCTACAAAGACCTATATGGGAATAGCCCAATCACTTTTTAATTACCCCTAAAGGAGACCATTTAAAGCCGGTAGGGGAGACAGGTAACTGGAACACGGCACTTTTGTTCATCAATATTTTTTTACTGGACAATATTAATCCCTCAGCTACTAAACGCAGAAGCC